CCCCAACATAGAAGGCAAGGAAATATCCACTCTCATTTGTAGTTCTGACTTGGTTCTCCCCTTTTATTGACTATCCATCAGAAGGTCTAGGTTGATAAGAAGTTGTCAGTCAAGAGTAAGTAGCAGACACGGGGATTTTGGCAAAATTGATGCCTTGTAAATTTGGGTCAAAGAGAGTAAGTTACACTGAAAAGCTGCAATAAAGCAGGGAACTAATTTTATGTCATTCTGAATAATGGAAAGTATCACAGCCATTGAATTATCCTTCTCTTCCCATAAATGGGAACTGCTAGCACAAGTGTAAAGCCTTTTTGTCACTGAAGTGATACAGGCATCAAGCAAGAGATGTCATTAACAAATGTAGGGTACTTTAGTGAAGTGTGGTGTGATGGACCCTGTGACAAAAGAAATGCAATGATGAAGAAAGACTTCTAAAATATAATGCAGGGACACATTAGTCACATAGAAGCAATGTAAACCAAAGAACAGACTGTCAAGAAATCTGAGTTGATTGCCTTCTGGATGTTGTGAATTTGGAGGTCATCAATTTTGGCTAGCTGTTGATCTGGCATTCTGGTACTCTCCCCCCAAAAAAGAATTTCTCAGATAATAATCTATCAAGTGGCCAGACCCAGTGCTGCTGAGACTGCACTTCTTGCACAGTTTGAACTGGCTCAATTTTTCAGTTATAATAAAGTAGCTGCCATATATTATTCTAAAATAATGTTGCTGCTGAGTTTTTTGCAAGGCAGGAGTGAGACAGCAGTAACAGGTCACTGCCATGGAAAGAAGGGATCTGAGGAATCACACAGAAGAATTGGAAGACAGGGTATTTGAAGCAAACACAAAGAGAGAAAACCAAAATGAATAAAATTGGAGAGACCTTCAAAAAGAAACAAACGTCAGAGGCAAAGGAAAATAAAAGAAAGCAAACTTGGTTTGTTTAGCAACCAAGACTAATTCCCCTTCCTGTTAGAAAAGACCTTCATAGATCAAAGTATTAGAGTGTGCTGAATTCCACTTGGGCAACCAGCGATATCCTGATTAGATTTGTATTTAAACAGAATTGTCATACATTTCAATTATCAGAATCATTGGAGCCAAGTGCTCTTTCAAGTCAGACCTAAATTATGCATTCTCTAACGGAAAGTGAAAAGGCATACAATGTTGCTACCAAACATTGTTCTGTAGAGCCATATATACTTTTAGCAGTCACGAGCATAAATGGAAGTATGCAGTATTCACACAGTTCCACTGGTAAGCTGAAAACTTACTACATCAAACAAAAGCAAGCATATTCTTGGGTTTTAATTGCTTTAATAGTCGAAGGATAATCTTTCAGTCTAGTCTTCAGAATTGTTCTTCAGAATAATTACTTCTGTGTGCTCAAAAAGAAAAAAAGATACTACAAAAGGTAGTATCATATGTTGACATGATTTTCATGTTGTGCTAAGCACCTTCTAAAAACAAGTGCCCTCTATGGCATGCCATTTGAGGCTGAAAAGCTAGATGTACCCCAAACCAGGAGTCTCTTTAAATGATGATATGCGTTTGATTGATTTGGACATTTGAATATCCCTAGTAGTGAACAGGAGTCTAAATATCTATTGAAACAGCCCTGGAAGATGAGCATATTCACCGCTATTGAAAAACAGCTTAATGGGTAATACCACCCAAACACAACAAAGAGGCCTGAAAGGTATCTCCATAAGAGGTCTGGGCATCAGTGGGAATTCTAGCTGTTACTTAAATGCACAAGAACATATATAGGGACAAAACATTCATCATTCACTTAAAACTCATCAAACCATGAATTCTGTAAATAATTGCTTCTCAGACTTAACACCTACATTTTGAATCTAGGATTTAAAAATGACAAAGGCCCTTATATTTTTTTTGGTAACCTGGTTCCATTTTTAGGATAATATCACCACTACTTTAAAATGATGATTTTCTAATCTCCTGCTTTGGTTTTCTTACAGTACTGTATGAGGTTTAATGTCTCAACATTTATTTGTTGCTATTCAGTAGACCCCAGGGGTCAAGCTGTTACTATGTCTTATGCTGTCTGTAAAATTATGAAGTGCGTGCAGGATAATGGGGAGAATTGATCAACACAGGAGATTTTCAGTGAATAATCTTCCAGATTCAGAGAACCACCTCCCTCCTCCTACATCCCAGAATTTTACTGCTGAAAGAGATGACTCTGAGTCACAATACAGCAAAACAAATTTCATCAGCGCTTTTTCCTATCGTGGACCTTTGACTGCTTTGTGACTGCTCCCATCCTCCTTACTCTACCACTGAAAGCAGCCTCTTCCCCCTCACTGTGTTTTCTCACAGGTTCCTTCTACGGTATCTGCACAACATCCTACTTCTACTCCCAGGCACTTTCCTTATTATAGCAATTTTCTCCAAAGGTTGACGCTGTCTATCTCATATGCAAGAAACAACAGAAAGCAAAGATGTTTAAAAATGTCATGGTCATCTGGATATATCCTTCTCATATAACTCCTCCTCAATGTCCACTGTAAATCCCAGTTTCTGCGTTGTACTAAATGCAGTTACCTAGGCAAAAGATCAGCTTTTTCCCTATATTACAAGAGAATTGATATATCTTTGAAACCCTAAAAATAATAATACACTATAATAATAATTGAAGAACAAAGACGGCTTGTAACTTTTACCTTATCTTGATGAAATTACAAGTGAAACAAATCTACTATTTATCTCTAACACAATGCCAACCACATATCTGAATTATGGTTTTCTCTTGTTTGATAGGCTAAATAATTTTAGAAAAATGAAAAATGTTAGGTGTACACCTGCTGTTTCCACCTGAATAATTTCTCTAGAAGGTGGGATGACCCTACTCACATTTGCAGTTGTCTTGGACAGAAAAAAACCACAAAAATTGTAGTATGAATTTACCAGTCAGGTTCAGGTCTCATTCTAACTAAGTAAAGTATCTGGGCTGGAAAATTCAGATGTAATTCATATGTACAGTGGATAAAAAAGTGTTGGTCTGAAAAAATTTAGAAGTGGCATAAAAATGCCAGATCTTGCCAATCTGTCCCATTTTCTCTCTCTGGAAATTATAGTTTTATTTCTTCGAAGGGCTAGCACATTTTACTAGCCCATATGCCTAAGTAACACTGTTTTTAGCTATCAGTTTAGATATTTATACCACACTGGGTCGTGTGGATCCTATCAAAGCTGGCATGAGTGTCTGTTACCCAGTTCTACCTCACCAGGTAAAATTCCAGAGTCAGGACCTCACTTTGCTTTTTGTCAATGAGAAGGAGAAACACCAAAGAACCTTCCATTGCTAGAGAGAAATGGGGTCATCTTCATCATTAGCAGCGAGAACAGCTCAAGATGGATGTACAGAACCTCTGCAGAGTTGGAAATGCAGCACTGACAAGCCCAGATGCAAATTGTTTTGCGTTACCCAAAGCCCTTGTGCATAGTACTTCTCCCTTTTAACCCTGCTGTACCAAACAGCAACTCTTTAAAAGGATGCCAGCAGTCTTCCTCCCATCCTCGTGGCAATATTCAGTATTCACACTGAGGCACTTTTTGGGGTGTCACTAGCTGCAGCTGCCCATATTTGTGTGTTTCCAAAAATGAGGTTTGCATAAGAGTTTCACTTCTTATAAACACTGGTGAGTCTGCCAGCCTGCAGCCCCCGAATTCAGCAGATGGCCATGTTTAGCCAGCGAGCTACAGGAATGACAAAGAGCAGGAACTGTCTCTCCTGAAACCTTTAAGAAAGCACTGAAGCACTATTCTAAGTAGACACTCTAGGGTATTTTTATATATATATATATATAATGGGAAGGTGAAAAAAAAAATCCCTAATTCTAAACAGTTTAATCACTTCAGTAGAAATGATGGACTAAGTCAAGCCATTTTACCTGCCCCTAGTATTTAGTTTTCTCACATGACAGCTACTGTGCCATCCTCTACAATAATCTCTGTAGGACAGGAAGAAAAACAAACACCCACCTTCCATTTCAAATTATTTTTAGTAGGGTATATGAATCATCGTTGTCAACATAACCCAGAGGATATTGAAAGCCTTTAGAAAAACTAACTCAGGTTACTCTTTCACATCATTAAGCATATCTAGAATTCTTTAAATCATGCTCTGTCAAATGTGGTGGGTTTTTTTGGAAAATGTTGTAAGGCTTCTTAACCATGTTCCTCAAATAAGAAGAGGAGATCTGATTTTTCTTATATGTTATTTGCAGACAAGAAAAAGAAGAAATATGCACAAACAATCTTTATGCTCCCTGTTTAGTATCTTCATATGATTCAGTAAATAGCAAGAGATGCAACACATAAGTTTTAAAATAGCTTTAGTGATGCCAGGGAATGACTTTTGTATGGATCTTTATGCTTTGCTCTTTGCCAGCTATGCTAAAACAACACCAGTGGATGGTAGCAGACAGTTGTATTATATACATTATGTTATACTATATGTTTAAAATGTTATATATTAATATAATCTACCTCTCTCTTTTAAAATCTTCCTTAGCAGTAAAAAAGGCAATATATCCTGACTGGACATCGAGTAACTCATTACTGCGATGAAGGCAGTCTGCTTCTCTCTTGTTTTAGACCATCTTCTGACTCAGACAGTCTTGTCTTGTTGGTTTACACTTAATTTGCCTCCTCATTATCTTTTCAACCATAAAAAGATGATAACTTCTTTGTTACTTAAATAGAAACTCAGGACATAACCGAACACTACCTGCAGACAAAAAACTATAGGTTAACGTTTTTATTCTGTCTTTGCCTGGAGGCAGCGGAGGCGGGGGTGTGGAAAAGCAAAGGAAAAAAAAAAGGCAAAAAAAAAAGTCAGATGACACTGTATGGACATTTCTCCTTTGCCCTAGGGAAAAGGCAGCTGGGCTATTGAACAAATAAATCTTCCCTCACAGATGACCAACTCTAGAGTTGTCCCTCTTGGTGTTTGCTACTTGAGCCAGTTTAACTGCCTTTTAGCTCTTGCCTGAGGGTATGCCTATTCCTGCCTCACGTCATCTTCCAAGAAGCCTCAGCCTAACAGAAAGAGTCCAAGGCAGCCTGATAGAAAGAAAACCCAAACCAGCTGTCTGGGAAGCCATAAAGATGGGGAGAGGGAAAACAAGTTTGTGTTTCTTGAGGTTTACCAGAAGAGCACACACTGAAGCAGGGTGCAGGTGGAGGGAAGGCTACCAGAAGGGAACCTCTTCCCTTCAGAAAGCTGGGAAAGGTATTAAAATAATAATACAATTCTCCAAGCCTGAGTCTCAGTGGTTCATTCTCAGAAAAGAAAGCATGTAAAATATGCAGAGAACTGAAGAAAGCTGAAAAATGATCCTTTTACTAATCCATCCTCATTTAGTCCAAAGCTGTAAGATGATATTTCCCTAACATAATCTTCTAGTTTCTGTCACTCGAAGACTTTGCATTTTCCTGAACTGGAAGTTGTATCCAGACAATTGCATTTAATAACCTTTGATGCAACTTTCTGAATTGAATTTGTCTAATCATTTCTTAAACCTCTTTAAACATGTGGTATCCAAAACATCTTGTAGCAATGAAATCCTCAAACTACTTTGCATTGTGAAGAAAAAGTGCTTTCCTGCTCCCTGGCAATTTCAGGGTGCACTTACTCCTTGTTCTGTGGTAACAGGGGATGATCATCTCCTCTCTGCACCCTCTGGATTATTCATAATTTTGTACACCTTTTTACATCTTTGTTGTTCATAGTATTGTGTGCACTGTGAGACTCCTTTTTCCCCAGGGTGAAGAGGTTTGGTGCATTCAGTCTCTGCTTGTAGAGAAACTGTTCATTTTCTCCATTCAGGCTGTCACCTTCTCTGCAGCTCTTCCAGTTCCATCACATCCCACTGGAGACAGGGTAACAAGAGTTGCACATAGCATACGACACACAGGAACGTCACAATTTAGAGCCAGGAAGGGATTTTCTTTTCTGTTCCGTTCCTTTTCCGGTAACTCCTTTTTGTTTGATGAAGTTGCATTTTTACAAGCTTCTGGGCTGCGTGCCAGCATGATGTGAGATGACTTGACGTTTTCGGTGTTATTTTTCTAAACCCTGACTTCTCCACAGTCGGCCGTCCTGTAGGATGGCTTCCCAGGAAAGAAACAAATTGGCCACGACCGAAGAGTCACCATTACCTGTGTACAAGCCACCCCTGCTATAGATTTCATCTCAAAGCAAGTGTTGCTGCTCTGGAAAGGTCCCTCTGGGAGAAGGCAGGTCCACACCATGGCTGAGCGGCTGCATTAGGCGCTGCAGTATTCTAATGTAATTAGAAAACAGCTGTGAAGGAACAGTCAATTGTTTTTTTGGCAGTCACGGCCAATTTTGCACCAATGCAAATGACGAATCAAATCCTGCAAGTTTACAATGTCTGCTGAAAGCATAATGGCAGAAGCCATGCTAATGATTTTAAATCTCGTTTATACCATTTTCAGCTGATGGAGTTGTCCCTCGTCCCCCAGAAGCCTCCAGTGTCAAGGAATTCCCATACACTGCACCATAATGCCTATTGGGAAGGGGAGAGGAGAACCAGTAGGTTGGGTAGGGAAATCAGGCAGCTGCCTTTCATCTACAGACTAAATATAGTACATTCTTTCTTTCCAGAGCAGGAACCATGCCATTGAGCCATGCATTTCTCAGCCTCACCAAATAAACATAAAACTGGCAAGAGAGAATAACACAAAGTATCCAGTTACAACCAGACTGTTCCTCCCTGACTATCAAACCCAGTCCACCCACTATGTATTAATGCATCAGAAATATTAATCCAGAAGAACAGCGTTATTCTTTTAAACATGTTCCTCATACCAGTTCTTTTAACAAACATCCAGCTCTGCTAAGGCTATCAAATATCAGCCTGTGAACTATCATCTGCTCCTAAGATGTGTGCAATTTTACTGTCTGAATGATGACAATAATCTCTAGGGCCACATTCTCTTGCTGAGGCCCCCCATAGGATCTTTCAATATTATTGCACGTGTCAGCTGGGATTGCAAATGCTTCTTAGGAGGGTAACTGCTAAAAACATATTTTTGCATTTGTAGCAGTGCCTGTTAACATGAACAAATGCAATCCAGTTGGCAGTATGTTCACATAAGGGCAAACTTTGTGATAAAGATGTTAGAAACAACATTTGAAAATGGCTCTTTGCCCTTCTTGTTCTGGCCTGAAAATAGCTGCATGTCAGTCTTTAGAAGGCAATATTTTCGGCCAGATAGTCAATAATTTTGATAGAATTAGCATGGGACAGAAACGCCATCCAAAAATGGATTCATGTTTAATCTGGTAATCTGATCCCATATGGCACTTTAAAGAGTGGGAGGAATTAGTGTTTGCTGCTTAAAGAAATTACCCAGAAAATGACTGTCGAACACAGACCAAATAGTACCTCATCAGCATTCAGTGTGAAAAAGACAAACAGCACAGGAACAAGAGAAGTTAAAAGGTGAGCCAGCAAAGAAAGCCAAAATTTGTTCCTGCATGGCTGGGAAAGGGATAACGATCAGATGATAAAGGCAACCTCACAAAGTACTGGATATAAATAAAGAGGAATTAGAATACATCGCACAGAAGGGTGGAAGGCAGTTTAAAAGCTGAACCTAACAATAAGCCAAGCTCCATCCTTAAATACCCATTCACCTTCTCCGCAGTTCTGAGAAGGTGTTAAGAATGCATTGGAAAGCACCCTTTGGTTCCATATTATTTCTAATCATCCTGATAAGGGAAGCGAAGGTTCAGGCACAAGGCACGTAATGACTGTCTTGGTCCTGACACTCGACTGTGCTTCAGGTCACAGCTTCAGGACACGTTTCTGCGGTGCAAAACAGGCCAACGTGGTTCTTTCTTTCTGCCCTTGTCCCTCAGTCCTGCTGATCCGTTTGTCTGTGCGGCCTTGTGGTGAACTAGACTCAGAAACTCAACTCACAACTAATCCTGTTAAAGAATTGAATAAAAAAAGGACTGAGCATATTTTTAATTTGGTTGAGGTCAACCAGATCATCTGTAGCCCTGCAAAAAGTGACAATGGCACAACTGAGGAGCCACCCCTGGAGTGAACAGTTGGAGATAAATGGAATAAACAGATGGAGTTGAAGAGGAGAAGAGCGGGAACGGCTCATGCTGCCTTTGATGCCAAGAGCGACGTCCGCAGAAACACAGCCTCAGAGCTCCCAGTTTGTGCTGTCTCTGGAAGTGTGTTAATATCCGCACAAACACAGTAAACATGGCCTGTGTGCTAAAAAAAATAATTATGACCAGAGAGAATAAAAATAGCTGAGAGATGAGATGTGATGAACATCCAAAACACTTCAGATTCTGGGCAGGCAGCTCCATAATTTCATAATGCCTTTTCTGTGTTCTTCTCCTTCTATCAGGATGTTCAGCTTCCCTGACCTGCCCCACACTGGAAAACCTCCTTTTGTGACATCAACCTTTCACTTGGCCCATCCCCAAAAATCGTACAAGGTATTAGGAACCCTTCACTTTCACTGAAATTGTGGAAGCTGAAGGGCATCAAAACAACGGCCAGTGAAGTTGCAGCTAAACCAAAGCAGGGTTTGCGGGTTGCAAATCTATTTAGTGATTCTGTAACTTGACATAGACATGCAGCACAGGTTAAAAACCAAAGAAAAGCTATTTTCATCCTTCTTACCTCCCTGGAAAGGAAAACATCTAGCAGAACAAAGCGCCTGTTGTAAAATGAAATAAAATGTGACTGTTCCCATATGGAGATTACCCAAAATACACCCTTAAAGAATTATTTTGTTGCTTACTTCTGGGGTAAGAATACAGGATTTATCTGTAAAAGCAGCTCAGACCAGGGCAGTGCAGTGGCTAATGAAACCCATGCCAATATGTGTCCAAATCCTTCCCTTTGTGTCACCAGTTCAAGCACACCAATTTGTGACAGAGCTACGAAATGAAAAAAATCACAGCCCAGTGCACAGAGATAATATAGACAATAACTAAGCTTTTGCTGCGTGCTTACACACACATGCAACACCCCGCATTCAGCTCAGGCAGAGCTTGGCTAGCTTACCAAAGCCAACAGCCCTGAGATAAAGAGTCCAAATTAGGGGGAAGGAAAAAAAAATCTCTCAGGTGCAGTCTACAAACACAACACTTTTTGACCATTATCCTGTGGTTCTAAACAGGTACAAACCCTGGGTCCTGCACAAATATCCAATGGCAGGATTAGCGCTATGGTATTATGTGCTTAATGGGTATACACTTTCCTCTTAATTCTCCCTTTACTGCACCACCCATCTCCTTTCTTTCTTTTTAAACTACCTAAGGATGTCCAAAACCTCTGGAAAACGTGCTTTAAGAAACAAAATTAATTGTATCTATAAAGTCACTCCTTTGCTGAGTAAAACATCTTTTGTTTATGTAGCAACTGAGGCAAAGGGAGGACAATATCAATTTTTCCTCTAAAAAAAGTTAAAAGTTCTTGTGAGATTCCCTAAAGTTAAATATAGCTTAAGTGTCCATAAGAACATGCCTAGGAAAGAAAACCACTTAAACTGTCCCGATATCATAGCTCTTCTTTTGCTTGTGCTCATTTACCAGCCTGGTTTCCAAAGCCAGTGGCTAGTCTGGTTGTCAGAGCAGCAGCTACCAGCTCTCCACGTTCTGTTAATATGGATTACTGCTCTATCTAGTGTTTTTAAAACCTCTTTGATGAGTAAAAAAAAACTATCCAAAAAAACCCAAACAACATTTATGAGAATGGAGCAGTATTTACTCACCAACCGTGTACAGCATGTCAAGGGGGTAAATACAATACAGGTGTATATGTATGTTTCTCTTCACCTAACCCTCCATATAGTTTTCTATCTGCAAGATGCAAAACTGCAGCACGCTCTCAGGGTCTCTTTTGCTAAGGACTGGCCACTTCTGGCAGCTCCATAAGCCCCCACCTCATGCCATTATCCAGATATTTATGTGGTTTAGTGTTTTATGCAATTATAGGTTCAGACTGG